GGTGTCTTAGCCTTGTGATTTTGTCTCTAAAATTCTTCTACTTCCAAAAKTTGTTTTGAGGAAGAGTAAATAGAATAAATTTCAAAACTGCATTGCTGCTTTGTTACTTTTATGTCATTTGAACAGAGATAGTGTCAGATGATAGAGATTCCTCACTCCTAAGCCTTGTAAACTGCTTGTAAATATTCATAAAGATTTAACTTGTCACCATAGGTCCATGCTAATAACTACAACTATTTTCAAATAATGCATCATCCTCAACAAATAATCTGAGATTTTATTCTTTTTGTTTCATTTTGGTTGAGCTACTCACTGCCAGGAGAATCTGCATGATACAAAGCTTAAATGAAGAACTGAAGGCAAGGAAATCTCTGGAATAGCTCTAGATTTTTATAATTTATATATAATCACATTCATTACTGCTGTAATTGACTAAGTAGTATCTGTTAATCTCATTCAGGTATCAGTGTTGTCAAATTGCACCTACCAGACAAGCATGTCAAAAAAAAGGTGGACAGCAGAAGCTAAGATGGCAGCTGGCAGAATTTTCCTTTGGTGACTATTATGAGTTGGATCAGAAACAAGATTAATTAAAAAGATTCACTGAGGGACCTGATATAATTTAAAGCTTGGTTTATTTGTTTCATTTTGAAACAGGAAAAAACATCTATTTGTCCATCCTTTTACGTGCACGTGTTTTGATTAGTCATTACAAATGCCTATATACCTTAAAGTTACATCAATATTGTAGGATCTCAAATTACTTAAATAAATGCAAAATAAAATAGAGTCTATTCTGTAACCAGTTTCCTTTTCTAATTCTTAAATGCAAAAATGCAGTCTTCCCCACCGCTTCCCCTTTTCCCCCCAGTTATAACCCTCACAATGCTATTCTTTTTCAAGAACTTTAGAATGTTTGTAATAACTATGTTTTCCATATTCAATATAAATCTCCACGTTMAAAAGGAAAAAATGGAGTTTCAATACTAGGATCCAAAGAGAAATTCCATTTCAAGTAATGCACAGATTTTTATTTAACAGCATAACATATTTTCTAGTTATTGAAGCCTGGAAGTTTTGGCCTGCAGTCCTACTGTCTGTTTATCTGCTTCCAAGATCCAACTCTTCAATGTACTGCATCTCTCATTTTGAGAAATGTACCTCAAAGTTGTTTGATAGTTCATTACAGCTGGAATTGCTGGTRCTCTGAGTTTGTGATTTCCTTCATCCTCTACAGATTGTAAAGGACATGGAGCAAATGAAAACCAGACACATGAAGATAATCAGAAAACTAGATGATCTAAGAAACGAGAAGCAGGTAATTATTATGGAGCATTAGCATTGTTAAGTTATACCATTAATCAAAATGATACAGAGGGATAAAACATAGTTCATTCACAATTACATCTCCATTCATGTACCATTCTTAGTGTCCGTATATAATGTCAGTGTATCTTGAAGTGTATTCCAACCTTGTGATGTCTGGTTTTACTTTTTGTCTGRCACAATGGCAGAGATTTTTCTAAAATTTGTTACTAAAATTTTCTCTTAAACAACACTTTCCTGTCATAACTGACACCATGGTTAGAACATTTGCATTCATGTAGCCTGTGCCTCTCAAGAATTGACTGCATTGTAAAGGACTGTGCCAAGGTATATTGCCGTCATGGGCTTTTCCTCCGTGGGTATTCGTTGTCTACTTTGTACTCAGCTTGGCTTTAGCCTTGCAATGTTTTGTCAATACAGTTTACAGAACAGCAGAATCTCTTCACCTGTAAACTTCTGAAAGGTGACAATGAGGATCCAGAGGTGCCATTCCTGTGACCACAGCTCCACRATACCTCACTTTACTCAGTGAAAGCATTTCTTCATTCCATTAGTCAGTAATCCTCCCAAAAGATGTAACTATCTATAGTTACAGATAGATTTGCCTGCTTTGCTCTGGAATATTTTCTTGCAGTTACAGCTAAACCTTTCTGTTAATTTGCCACATCATTCTCCTTCTCTGATCCAGAGTAAGACACACACACTTAGTTCCTATGAAGATGTGTGTTTCCCACACAACTGAAGTTTATTCTGGGCACACAGAAGGAGGAGATTAAGGTATTCCTCTAAACCCACCAAAGGGAAGTGAACAAACACTGTTGGCTGTCAAGTAAAATCAAGAGGACTTCCTGTATGCAGTGTACAAACTTTAGAGACCCTTTGGTGGAGAACAAGGCTTCATCTTATTCTCAGGATTCTCAGTTTTCATGTCTGCACAAGCATTGTAATACCTCTCAAATCTATTTCTGAACTTTGGTAGGAATGTAAACCTGGCACAGACACATCTTCCACTTCCAACTGACTACAGATCACTAAGGGGAAAAAAAAGAGAATCAGGAAGAATACAGATGCATAGCAACAGGCAACTGCCTGCTGGGCAGTGATGCAACACACCTGTAATGATCTACCTTCACAGAAGCTCTCTCATTTTGGTTGCTGTGTGGACTTTTTTAATGCTACTTCCAAGYTTTCACTTTCTGAGCTAAGTTCAATTTCTTTAAAATTGCTTAGCTATGCTTAGGGTGAATTCATTCCAATAGGCTTTTAGAGAGGCTTTGGTCTTTATTTCTGCAGAAAAACACATAATATGTATATTATTTTAGCAGTAAGTTTTGCTTAAAGTCTGCAACGAATGATAGTACAAACATCCTGCAATCAATAAAAAATGTTTGCAGACAATAAAAATACACTGAATAAAGAGAACCTGTTGTGGAAACTGTTTTCTTTCTCATGTCTGACTTTCTGTTCTCACTCACTATATACTTTCTCAATATATTTTGTCTTAAAGGAGGAGGCCATAACTTCCATAAAGAAACATTATASTGAGAAAATGAGGTGTCTGAAATCCCAGTTAGAAGCTTACCAGCAGCTGATGAACAAGAGCAACACACACTGGCAAGAAACTGTTAAGGTAATCAAGTATTATTGTTTTTACATGGGGATAAGCACGGCAGAGGTTGCAGGAACAGGCCTTATAATTAATGCTCTCTTCTTGTAGACTGACAGCTAAATGAAGACACACAGTTTGTAGAATTGTTTTTTAAAATAAGCTATGTCTTTCTCCTTCTTGGGATGAATAAAGCCCTGCACAGTATGCTTCCAAACCAATTTTCATAGCTTGGCTTAACTATGCTATACACTTAGAAATAGCTTGGCTTTCATGAAAATAAAGTGTAAAGGATATTCCTAGAATATATAGGATGTGTGCTGCCCTTTTGGTAATTACAAGATATTAAGGTTTATCCTGTTCCTCCTGTTCTGGAGGAAAAGGTTCAGAGTGTTCAAGCCTTTAGAAAGGGTCTTTAGAATCAGACTGCCTTCGGCCACAGATGGTCATTGCTAAATGAGGAAGTTTTACTTGTTTTTGTGCAAGATCTACAGGCCTTAGAAGCCTGGTCCAACTGTAACAACTTTTCAACCTATGAAGCAAAAAAACCTCAAACTTTGCACATACCTGAAAAATAGTGTCGAAATTGTAATCTCTTTTGCCTTGTTTTACTGTCTTCAGAACCTGAGGGAAAGAAACAGACAACTGACCCAAGAGAAGGAAGGTCTTCTACACCACATGAAACAACAAACAGAGAACAAGGAAGAAGAAAAGGTGAAGAAACATAGTTTGTGTTTTCAGTGTCAGAKAGTGTTCTTGTTTCCAGTGTGTGCTGCTGGCCTGCCTGTCTGCCTTTAGATATGTACATCTAAATCAGTTAAGACTGAACTGCTACCTATTTGCCTTCTTTTTTTTAGAGACTCCATGTAGATTTACACCCTTTATAAAGCAATGAAGATGACATATGCTGTTTTGTCTTACTATATTTTTCTTCCCAGTAAAAACTATTAGATGCTCATTTCTCTTACATTTGACATTTTATGGGGGGTTTTCATAATAATTTTAAAATTACAGTACAGCACATTGCTTCTTCTTGGTTTAGCAATTAGCATAAAAATCAACAAAACCTCATTGTCTGAGTTATTGCAATACTGAATTTCAACAGGCTGACACAGCTGCAAAATGACCTTATTTGGTAGTTTTAGAAAAACCTGCCTAAATTTCCTCAGGCTTTCCAAATATGTCTGTAATAATGAAATTTCAGTTTATTAAAAAATTGAAACAGCTGCATAGGTGTAAAAAAAAAAAGTTTGTGGTTTTTTTTGACAGATAGCATTGGTAAGCATGCTCTGATATTTGTTATTTTCTGCACAGGATTCTGTTCTGTCCTATATGTGCAACTCTTCCTTTAATTTTGCAACATTGTACTCAGGAWGATCTTACCCCACTTTGTGGTGGGGAGTGGCGGAGAAGGGAAGGGGGCGGGACGGGATCTGGGAGGCAGATTCTTTTTTCGTTTGCGAAACTGAATGCAGATTTCTGGACGATTTCTGAGTGAAGAGCTCAGGCAAGTTTTATAGTTTCTTTCTTTCAAGTGACGTAGCACCACCTTCCGTTTAAATTCTGTATGGCAGCAGTATTTAAATTTCATGAACTTCACTTTTCAAGCGCTTTGAGCTATGTCTCCCACTATAATAAATACCCTATGCCTTATTGGTAAACTGTAAGAAAATTGTGGGGTTTACAAATTTRTTGATCTAATATTATATATGAAGAAAATGTACCCCAAGTATTACAATAAAAAGATAGAAGGGATGAGGATAATATGTTCTAAAGCTTGTAGGAAGAAAGAATATTTTCTTTTAGGCCAGATAAYGCTGGTAAGATTTGGCACACACAGCCTTTTCTTCCGGGATGCCGTAGGAATGCTTCCAGAAGCTTTTGTTATTCAACTGTTTCAGGAGAATCAATRATTTTTGTCTCTAATATCATTTCAGTAATGTGGACAAATTCTTGGAAAAGTATAAGCATAGGACCCCTTGGCTCAGCCTCGTGTGAAAACACTGTTGTCTGACCACTGTATGGTTTATTTCTATATTTTCTTTTCAAGTGATATATAATTACTGCTCACTAGCCCATTTGTGTAGGTTGTACACATAGGCAGTAACATTATTTCTGAATTATTGATTATTCTCCCCGAGGAAATCTAATGAAAAATGGTAGAGCATTGATTTCCTGCTATTCATCTGTTCTTGTCTTGCAGGTCTGGATTCTAGAAAATTTGTGTAAAAAGCTTTATACCCAGCACACACTGAGTGAGTGTTTCAGGCAGTGTCTCTTGATTTAGTTTCTTTCCTGCTTGCTTTTTTGTTTACAATGAGCTGCATGCCAGCTGAAGTCAATATAATTATTTCCATTTCAATACCATGTGTGCATGTGAAATAATAATCGAATGTTGGAGCTAAAAATACTGCCTGTAATGACTCCAAACTCCTTAGAACACCTGGCTGATTACAGTCACCATAATTATTCAATAGATMTCTTTCAACCCCTGTAGCCTTCCCTTTAGAAATGTAAAGCATAAAAAAGCATGACTCCTTTATCATTCTTTGAGTTTTATTAAATTAAAATGAATTATTGATTATAAAAAGTTATTAGTGCGTGATAAACTCTTGATTTTAAAGGGAGATAATTTCACAGTCACAGTATTGTGGAAGCTACAAATGAGAAACACTGAAGTTATTCTTACCTGGTTTTCTATTGTTTTTAATTCAGCTTTACAGGAACTGCACAACATCAGTCTAAAGGTGGAGAGATTGCATGACSTCATGAATTTCCAGATAAATAATCTTCAGCAAAAGTCAGAAAATGCAGCAGGAGAAAATTCAGATGTGTCAGAGGTATCATTATTAAAAACAGAAAAAGTGAGCACAAAAATAGAAATTTAACTGGTTGATTATGGGATGGCTGCAAGCCTTTCAAAGGCAATCAGGCTGATTCTAGCAAAAACTGAAGCCAACCTTGGGCCTAACTGATAGTAATTGTGGTGTACAAATATATACATAACTTGAGAATGATAGATTTATGATGAATAATTAAAGCATCACAATAATGAAACAAATTTGTTGTTTYGGGAATCACTGATAGTCTGCAGTGGCTGTTGTTAAGATAGTTCACAGTAGAGAATTTGCTACAAAATTCTTTTAAGTAGTTAAATTATTAAAACTATATTCTGAATGTTGAAGCCAAACAGGCCATCTTATCCRACATTTATTTTGCTTTGCTCCATTTCCACTCAACCTTCTCATTAAACTYTTGGTAATTTCATATGAAAGCAACCAAAATCTCAATCTTGTCTTAGTATATAAGAGTTATCTTTGCTACCTCCAGGTAGCTAATGAAGAAGGGAAGACTGAATGGTCAATGGAAAAGGGATATCTTTGGCAAGCACACACARTCCTGCAGGAAATACAAGAATCTTTGCAGAAACGAGAGAGGGAAGTAAGTGAGCTTCTACAAAGTGAAAGGAGATTTAACAAAGCAGTGAAACCTCAAATGACAGTGCTGATGTTCTTGAAATGTCTTATCAACATGGTAAGAAACCAGTAAAGATGAAAATTTATTTAATGGGTTTTCTATAAAGTTAATTTTGGCAAAAAAGTGTTGTTTTATTTATTATTTTTTTAGTTTTAAAAATGGCTGAATATTATTTTGTGTACATTGATTTACAGGTAAGATTTTTAGAATAACACATGAAATTAAAGAACCACAAATACCTACTGTAAGCCTACAGAAAATTGATTAGACAAACTTTAACACATGTTAATTTGCATGATTTTAAAAGATAAATTAATGAAGCATGAGAATGGTATCATGAAAAAAAGCATGTTTTTCTAACTTTTCAGTTATTTGAACTGCATGAATTACAAACAGATGCATCAGCTTTAGAGGAAATATGATGTAATTTTTGCTCTGTGTTAGATTCACACCATATACTGCGATGTCCCTGGGGCACAAGAATGCATCCATCAGCTTATCAGGAAGAACGAGGGTGAAAGGGCTGATCAGAAAGGAGTCTTCAGTARTGCTCAGGCTGACATTCCGTCCTGYGAAGTGTTTTATGGAAATGAACTTACAGATGACAGAAGGTATATTGAATAGTTAATGAAACAAATATAGAAATGACATAGAAAAATAAACAGCTCTTTTCACAGAGGGAAAATATGTTTTGAAGAACACTGTTATAATTTTCATGTCTATTTATGGGAAGAAGTGTTAAAATAGGGCGTACATCTATATTAGGAAAGCAATAAAGTGTCTTAGAAATATCATGTATAAAAAGCAAAAAAACATTTTGGCTTAACTTGTCTATGCAGATTTTATCCCTTGTATTATAAAATACGCTGAGATAGGCTTATCTGGTAGCCCTGTGCTACAATATCAATGTCTTTTCTTCCTACTTTTTCTACAGGAAGCTTCTTACAAATAAAGTTCTTTACAAATTAACTTTCGTACAAATAACTCTCTTTAACTCTCTTTTTCTTTTTTTTTCTTTTTTTTTTTTTTTTTTTTTTTTTTTTAATGATAGGACACACCTCCCGACAAAGCTATTCAGAAACATGGGGAAAGCAAAGTCTGATTTAGAACATGTTGAAACAGAAAAAATTGTGTTTGGTTGCATCCAGACAGGAGAAATCCCCAACTGGATTAAAAGGGATTGTCTTAATGTTGCCTGGTCAGGTGAGAAATTCTCTTGTCAATTCACAGAAGCCTAACTATCCTTAGCCAATTTACTATTGAATGCWCAAAACAAGAGTGCAGCAGTAAAAAGCATGTTGTTACCATGCTTTAATGATTCCCATGACATATCTTCCATTTTGTGCCTTGTAGTGAGTTACTGTATGAATTGTAATACTGGGTCATGACTTGTAAATAGCAGATTTCCAAATTTATACTCCTCTGTTCATATTTTCTTTGGTATCTTTGTCATTTTGAAAATAGATGTCTTTTATACATTGTATCTAAATAGTTCAGTGCATATTCAAGGTACATGCACCCAGATTTAGCAGATATGCACTGAATGAAATATCTTGTGGAATTCAAAAGGCAGCAACCCCTTTCAAAGAAAACCTTAAATTATCCATTTGATGAATTTAACACACTGTGCTTTTCTAGGGGGACTAGCAGAAAACCTTTCTTCAAATATTTGCTTTGCTTTTTCTATGATTCTGCAACACAAACTTGGTCTTGGTGCCTTAGTCAGGGAAAGGAAGGTGGATGTGTTCTGTTTGAAAAAGTGACTGTTTCTAATTTAGAAGATTTACTGGGTTTTGTGTTGATCCTGTGTAACTATATAATTATGGGAACTCTCCAGAGGACACTGGAATATGCTCTGAGGAGGTGGAGTCATCATTGCAAGGAACTCACRAAGAAGTTTAAAATGGAAATCAAGGTAATGCATTACAATGTATCACACCACCTGGTTTTAAAGTTAATATTAATACACTAATTTTCCTAACTATTCTTGAGGGATTTGAGACTTGCTCTGAATTATATTCTGTGATATCTAAGCACATTTACGCCCGAGGATAGCATAGTTTTGCTTACTAGCCAATTACAGGATTACATCTTTCTGCGTATGAAACGACTCCCATGTTCTATTTCGCACCTGCATGTCTAYTTGGTTGCTTGTGTACAAGTCTTCACGCATCTAGGTGGCCCTTGATGTCTGGTGTAGCTAAAGAAACACTGGAATCACAGAACACTTTAGCCTGGAAATGACCTTTTTCATTCAGTCCAGCCCTTAACCCAGCACTGTCAAGTCGACTATTGAACCATGTCCCTAAGTGCCACATCCACCCGGTGTCTTAAATATCTCTGGCTATGGTGATATGACTGCTTCCCTGGGCAAACTGTTCCAGTGCTGRGCAGCCCTCTGCATGAAGAAATTTTTCCTCTTATCCAATCTAAACCCCACCCTGGCTCAACTTGTGGCTGTTTCCTCTGGTCCTGTCATTTGTTACCTGGGAGAAGAGACTGAACCCCATCACAGTCCCACCTCCTTTCATGTAGTTATAGACAGAAATAGGGACCCCTGAGCCTCCTTTTCTCCAGCCTAAAACCCCCTATCTGCCTCAGTCTATTCTCATAAGATTTGTGATCCTGGCCCTTTACCAGTTACTTTTCTCTGGACATGGTCCAGCAGCTCCTGTGTTCACATGTCTGATGATTCGGGATGCATGGATTCCCTGCTTGTTAGTAGATTATAAAAGAAGCATTGCCTCATCTGAATTTACATCAGAGTAAATGACTGAAAAAAAGTAACTGTGCAAATGATCCATGAGTCCAYGGACCCTGACAGGATGCATCCTTGAGTTCTGAGAGARCTGGTGGAAATCATAGCGAGGCTGCTCACCATCGTCTTTGGAAGGTCATGGAGCTTGGGAGAGGTGCTGCRGGGCTGGAAGAAAGCAAATTGTTTTCAAAAAGGGTAAGAGGGAGTGCACAGATATCTTCTCAACCCCTGGAAAGGTGATGGAGCACCTCATTCCAGAGGCCATCTCTATYGATGCTGACAAGGAAATGAACAGGAGCAGTCAGCATGGATTCACTAAAGGTAAATCATGCTCAATCAACCTGATTGCCTTCTACAATGAAACAACTGCCAGGATGGATGAGGGGAGAACCATGGRTATTGTCTAATTCAACATCTGTGTTGTTTTCTACACTGTCATTCACAATATCCAGATAAACAGGGAGTGTGGACTGGGTTAGATGACAGAGAGATGAATTGATAACTGTCTGAGTGGCAGATCCTAGAGGGTCATGATCAGAAGCACAGAGTCTAGTTGGAGGCCTGTAGCTGGCAGTGTCCTTCAAGGTTCAATACTGGGCCCAGTATTGTTTAATTTATGTATCAATGGCTTGGATGAAGGGACCAATGCCCATCCGCTGATGACTGAGCTGGGAGCAGAGGATGGCACCACTGCTGTGCTGTGCTTTGGAAGGACCTCCACAGACTGAAGAGATGGATGCAAAAGATTTGCAGTCTGAAGTTCTGCAAAGGCAAAGGCAGGATCCTGCACCTGGGGAGGAACAACTCCATGCACCAGGAGASTCTGGGGGCTGACCTGCTGGAGAGCAGCTCTGTGCAGAAGGACATGGGGATCCTGGTWGACAGCAAGCTGTCTGTGAGCCAGCAGTGTGTCCTTGTAGCCAAGAAGGCCAGGAGTATCCTGGGGTGCATCAGGAAGAGCACTGCCAGCAGGACAAGGGAGRTGACCCTGCCCCTCTGCTCAGCCCTGRGGAGGCACATCTGGAGCACTGTGTCCAGTTCCAGGCTCCTCAGGARCTCCTGGAGTGAGCAGATCCAGGGGCTGGAGCATCGCTCTTGCCAGGAAAGGCTGAGGGAGCTGGGTCTGTCCAGCCTCAGGAAGAGACACCTGAGAAGGACCTGATCCATGTCTGAGAGCTGAGGGGAGGGAGCCAAGGGCACGCACCGGGCTCTGCTCRTGGTGCCAGGCAATGGTACAAGGGGCAATGGGCAGAAACTGAGGCACAGCAAGATCCACCTGAACATGAGGAAGAACTTCACTGTACAGGTGACTGGAACAGGTTGTCCAGGGAAGTAATGTTCCCTTACTGGAGATRTTCCAGAACTGCCTGGACACAGYCCTGCRYCACCTGCTGTGTGCTSTGTGACAATTCTCTTTGAGCATGAAGGCTGGACCAGATGATCCTCTGTGGTCCCTTCCAGCCTGACCCATTCTGTGACTCTCTGCTGAAATCGACCCTGCTGAATTGACATAAATTAAAATGCATCAGAAGTCAGAGTGCAGTAATGTATTTATGATATTTCAGTTTTTGAATTTCATAGTGAATAGACTCATAACTGCATGAAATTATTACTTTCTGTAGACACTAAGACATCATAGATACTTAAACAACAACCAGCATAGCAAGTTAATGTATGGAACTGCAAATAAATTCAGAGCACATAAATTTCAATTTTAAATAAATTCCTTGATAAATAATGAATAAAAACTGTATTTTTTTKGTAATTTCTAACTTTCTGTAGTTTTTTAGTGTTTGTTGCACTTTTGTGTTTGGTTTTGCTTTGAGTTTTTACATTTACCGCATAATGAAGGAACACTAGGAGAGATACCAATTTTGAAACAAACTCCCTGCTTTAGAGAGGAGCACTGGACAGAAAGCTTAACACAGAAAAACACTTTCTGCATTATTTGTTGAGTGGACAAAAAACTGGAAGCATTAAATATGTATGGCCCACTCAATATCAGAGAACTTACACAGGCATTTAAGTACTCTGAAAATTTTATGCTTTTAATGGCTATTTTTAAGAAATCTTCTAAAAGAAAGAAACAAAAAAAACCCAGCATAATAATGATCTGAACAAGTCTATGACCAAACAAAGTAGTTTTTGAGTCAAACAGGTATAGTCCTTCTTGCAAGTGGATGGGGTCTGTAAGCTTTTGCTGTCTAAAGTGGGGCTTTTAACATGCCTTTACAAGCAGTACCTGCAGAGAGGTGGATCCTAAGGCTAATATTCATCTGTGAAGCACAAATCTCCAAAATTAACTTTGCTTTGTCCCACTGAAGATTATTTAGCAATTGTTTTAAAATGCTTGTTTTTATACCATGGTATATGTTTCAGCTTTTCACTCTTTTCACTCTTTTTTTTTTTTTTTTTTTTTTTTTTTTTTTTTTTTTTTTTTAATAAAAGATGAAGTTGAATAGATCATCCATAGGAAGAAAGTTTTAAAAATATAAACTTTGAAATCATAGTTCCAATAAGGAACAAATGAATGTGAAGTTCTGGTTGTTGAAGATAGCAACTTGTCTCTAGTGAGTGGTTGTTGAAGATGATAATGCTGAGTTTCTGGAAGAAAATGCATGCTGTAAATTTGAATATCAAATGTGCACTTTTAAAGTTTATTTGGGGGTCTTTATCATCTGTCAAATGTGTACCTGGAGCTTAATGGTTTACTTGAATTATTCAGCTGTGTTAAGTCCCATCTATATGGCAAGTTGAAAACAAAATTGTATTCCAGCACTGATCTGTCATTCAGACAGTAACATACAGAAGCACTTTTTTTTTTGGTAACTGCTTGTCTGTTCATAGCGTGCTTCTTCTAGGTTCGAATCACCTATCCAAAAAGAATGCTCTGTACCAYTGAGGCATCCCTGTGACAGTGCTTTTGTGCAAATTGATGACTGTACTCATCAGTGTGCTGTCGGGAAGAGTCCTTCTGGGAGCTCTAGTGCCAGGAACGCGATGTCTGTTCCTGAGTGCCGCCTCCTCAGGGCCTTTTTCAACGGAATCTTGGAGTGCACTGTGACACTGTCGGAAGGGAATGCAAGAGAAAAGGAGCAAGGACGCAGATGTCACTGAAATGTAGATGCATTATGGTGAAGATACTTTAGAGAAAAACAGCTAGAGTGGGTGGAGAGGGTGATCTTGAGTGCCAGGCTGTGAACATACCACTCCAGGATGCAATCACATGGATGATAGGTCCAAGCCTTGGACCTGACTGCACCTGGTCCAGACCCACAGAGAGAGAGAAAATCTAAATATTTATAAAAGCTATATGCGACCTGTATGCAGAATGTGCACATAGACATAGTGTTTGATTTTTTGTTGCCTTCAGATTTTGATTTCTTTGGTAACGAGAGAATTAAGGGCAGTTTTATATCAGCTTTAAAGAATGGAACTCGTGTAGCAAGCCAGAATTCTGTTTTAAGTCAAAGGAGATTTTTGAGGTGTGGTTCAGCTATTGATCTGTACAGTGTAAAGTAATTGAACATTTAATGTATAGCGATTTCAAGTCCTATGAAGAAATTATTCTTATTTTTTCTCTAACCTTTTTAAATGCCTGACGCCAAAGCTTRCAATTCAGCTCCTTCCTTCACTTAATCTCATGTCTGTGTAACTTTACTGAAGCAATTTCATGGCTTCATATGCAAGTTGCTAGCTTTTACACCTGCTTTTAATTCTGTGACAAAGAGAAAAGGAAAAATTTCTCTAGTAGGCTGTTGATTTTTACTTACTTTTAATGTCAACATTAAGGCTGGGAATTAGATTTTAATTAAGATTATTCATAAAACAGCATTATAAATACAGAATTAGATTTTAATTAAGATTATTCATAAAAACAGCATTATAAATACAGGACATTATGTGCTTTAAATGTAGTTAAATTAATCAATATCCAATAAGTGATAAAAATAAGAACAGGAAAACAATGTCATTTTGTTTTAAAATCATARTCCAGAAGCAATGCTTCCCAACAATGAGGAAATTGGGCAAGAAGGCCTCCATGGATGGCAAAGGAGCTGAACCAAAAAGCATAATTTCCTGAGCATATCTGAATTTCACATCAGCTTATGTGCAAAATTTAAATAATTAACTCTTTCATATAATAATTAAAATAAATTTTCGTTACATCAATTTTTGCTAGTTATTTACAAAGGAACAATCAGCTTCATTACTGTAGCCTAGCATTTGTGGTTTATCTCTATGATTAGGAAAAAAAAAACGGAAAAAAATTAAATTTTCAGTTTGGATCTTTCC